ATCATCCCAAACTGAAACGCTAACCTTTAACCTCCATGGACCTCTGCTTCTAAGACATTAGTAAACTCTATTCTACTTTCTGTCTCTATCAGTTTGACTATTCCAGTCATTAAGTGACATCATGCAATATTTGTCCTTTTGTGACTGGCTTATTTCACTAGGCATGTTTTCAAGGTTCATCCATGTTGCAGCATGTGTTGGAATTTCCTTCCTTTTTAAGGCTTAATATTCCATTGTATGGATATAGCACATTTTGTTTATCCATTCATCCATGGACACATGAGTTGCTTCTCTGTTTTGGTTATTGTAAATAATGTCGCATGAACATTGTGTGCAAGTATCTGTTCAAGTCTCTGCTGTCAATTCTTTTCAATTCCTCTATGTAACTAGAAGAGGAATTGCTGGATCGCATGATAATTCTATGTTTAATTTTTTGAGGAGCCATCCTACTGTTTTCCAGAGCAGCTGCACTATTTTACATTCCCATCAGCAATGCACGTGGATTCCATTATTCCCACATCCTTACTGACATATGTTATTTTTTTTATTTTTAAATTAATAATTCTAATAATGGCCTTCCTAATGGTGTGGTATTATTTTATTGTAAATTTGATTTACATTTCCCTAATGATTAATGACATTTATTATCTACTTATGTGCTTATTGCCCAGTTGTATATTTTTTTTGAAAAATGACTATTTAACTCCTTTGCCTATTATTTATTAGTTTTTTAAATTTGTTGTTGAGTTACAGTTTTTAATACATTTTGGATATTAATCCCTTATCAGATATTTTGCAAATATTTTCTCCCATTCTGTAGGTTTTCTTTTATTGTGTTCTTTGATACACAGTTTTAATTTTGATAACTTTCAATTTATTTATTTTTTCTTAGTTACCTGTGTTTTGGTATCATATGCAAGAAATCATTGCCAAATCCAATATTATGAAGCTTCCTCCTATATTTTCTCATAATAGATTCATATTTTAGCTCTTATGTTTAATCCTTTGATCCCCTTTGACTTAATTTTTGTATATAATGTAAGATAATTGGGGGGGGGGTGGTTATCCTACTTGCATTTCACTGAACTTTGTAGATTTGTAGATTCATATGTTTTATCAAATTTGGGAACATTTTGGCCAGTATTTAAATACGATTTCTGCCCCTTTCTCTCTTCTCCCACTGGAACTACCACAATGCACATAATAATTTGCGTTATAGGGCCCCACAAATCTCTTAGGCTGTTCATTTTCTTCTTTTATTTTTAAATTTTATTTTATTTTTTTTGCTCCTCAGACTTAATAATTTCAATTGTCTTGAATTTAAGTTCATTGATTCTGTCTTCTGCCTGCTCAAATTGGATGTTAAATTTACCTAGTGAATATTTTAATTCAGTTGTATTTTTCAACTTCCAAATTTCTGCTTGGTTCCTTCTTACAATTTCTATCTTTCTGCTGATATTTTCATTTATCATTTTCCTGGTTTCTTTTAGTCCTTTGTGCTTTTGCTTAATTCTTTGAGAATATTTAAGAAATCTCATTTAAAGTCTTTTTCTAATAAATCCAATGTCTATGCTTCCCCAAGGATAGAAACTGGAGATTTACATTGTTGCTCTGAATGGGCCATGTTTTCCTTTTCTTTTTTGTATGTCTTATAATTTTTTGCTAGAAAAACTGGGCAAACTGGTGCTGTGCTGAGTCAGTGCTTCACTAATTGGTTGGGTGTGTTCTGAGCTTAGTGATCAGCCTGAGGTGGAAGCTTAAGGCCCTTTCAAGTCTTTTCTAAGAATGCCTCTAGCCTGGGGTTGTATGTGGCTTTCTTAATTCCCTCATGTACCTGGCTGTGTTTGAATGTCTTAATATCCCAAAAGTCTCATGCCAGCTTCTCTTCAGGGCCTTAGAGATGTTCTATTGTATGTCCTCGCCCATAATCTCTTTTTGTCCCAGTTGTCTGTGTGTATATAGTCTTCTTGAAGATTTCACATGCAGGGGCTGCCACTTTCCCCCTCTGTTTCATTGAATTTGAGATCCAAATTCAATGAGACAGAGGCCAGGTTTTTGGAAGCTCCCAGGTAGGTTAGAATGTGGCCGTTAAGGTTTACTCTGCAATCTTCAGTTCAAAGGAGATAACTAGGAATAGGGCTGCTGTGTCTTCCAACTGAAGAGTGTGCTGAGCTGAAGAGAGGGTAGGGCAAACGTGAATATTAAAAAAAGCCGTGAAATGTCCTATTTTTCTCTTTTTTTAAGGCAAAATTTTCTTCATGGGGCATTCACTTGGTTACTATATATATCTCTGGCTGTTTTTCAGAGCTACGATAGGGCTGGTTCAGCCAGTTTCTTGTTTTTTGATAGAACAAGATCTCAAAGTTTTCTAGTCTGCCATTGTGATAATATCATTCCCGTGAGGAACTTTTGTGTAGTTAAAACAATCACTTAAAAAAGTCAAATGCAGGTAACAGATCAGGTAAAAAAAAAAATCTGCAATATATTTAGGTCAAAGTTAATTTTTATAATATCCCAAAAAGCTCTTGCAAATCAATTCTAAAAATATACAAACCAAGTAGAAATTTGGACAAACAACAGAAACAGGTAATTTAAAAAAAAAGAACATCTGCATTTCTTTTGATGATGTTAAAGTATACATTCAACTCTTATATAGGCCTATTTCTACATAAAGTAAAGACTAAGATTAGCATTTTATAGAAACTGTAAACTCTACTGGAGCTTTCTGAATTTTGTCAAGGTTCTGTATTTTCTCTCCAAATCTTTTTCATAGTGTGCCTTCCTCCTCCCAACTTTCCTCCTACTTTTACTTCTCACTTTTTAAGGACCGGTTCTCATATTCTTATTATAAATCAGCCCATGATACAGACAAAGCTTCCTCTTAGGTGATAAAAAGAAGTGTAATTAATTCAGTTACCCAACCCTTCCAACCTGGGCCTTCTTTTTAATTTCCCTGGCTGGTTCAGACTTTGCATTGTAAAATGGAGATCAATCTTCATGAGCATTAATTCTCACCAACGACCAGTTCAATATCACTAAGGTAAGTTGTTACAGGTATGCCCTGCTTTTTTCAAAGTTTGCATTAAGCCGCTTTGCTTTTACGAATGACCTATATTAGTACCTGTTTTCTCTAAGTGTATCTTGAGGATAAATCAGTCAGTCTATAAGTAAAACTACACTGTATGTACATTATTTCTACTTTATACAGGTTCAGGTTGCATATTTATTATATGGTTCCTACTTTTACTACATGTTAGTATTATTTTGGATTTTAGATGTTATTTGGGTTGATTTGGTAGGTTATGTTTTGAGTCTGGGAAGGCTCAAAAGTTCTTCCATATTAAATTGATGATCATGGCTGCTTCTCTTTATGCCATTTAGCTTATGAAAGGTTTCAAAGGAGCACTATTTTAAATGGTAGGAAAAACCTGTGGTTGCTTTTGACACTTTAAACTTCCTTGTGTTGAGTGTAATAATTTAACGGTATTGCCTGACATTTCTGATTAAATTCATTGGGTGCCCAGTGGACATCAATTTATTCAAATTTAATCAGGATGTTTAAAGTGTAGGATGATAGTGAAGTTGGGTCTAGAACTTTATTTTAGTAAATAAATATCAAATTCAAGGCATAGGGTTTGAAGAGCCTTTAGCCATATCAGGAGAACATCATTATTCACACTAACCCACTTCACAGGTTGACTTAGACACAAAAGTTATCACCACTTTGTAACTACTTTGTAAAATTACAAAAAATAAAAATAAGTAAAAGTTCAGGTTAAACCAGAAACTCTGTGTGTTAAATGTTGGTTTCTTTCTCAGAGGGGAAGTTCAAGTTCAGTCTCGGTCAGTAGACATGAGTGAGAGTAGTAGACAGGGCATCGCGCTATTTCCTCTTTCATTCATGTTCTTGCTGAGTTTATGGTTTGGTTGAGTTTAATTTAAACGCTCTGAAGCTTAAGGAGCAGAAATGGAATGGCACTGGCAAGAGGAACTGCAACTTCACGTTAGGGAAAGAGTTCAAAAAGAGAAAAGAAATGCCCTCTAGAATTTCAGCCACCGAGCCAGACAATGTCCTTTCTGAACGGTGGCTGAGAAGGGAGACCCATGAGCACAGGTCACTGTTTATCTAATGCTCTTCTGTAAATGTAACTATCTATCTACGTCCACAATATATTCATCACATTATAAACCCGGGAGAAGTTTTAATGATGAAAAAATATAGTCTGACCTTGGCTTTCTGCTAACACTGGATTGGTTGTTCTAATCGCCTTGTTCCTTTTAATAAAGGTTTATTTCAAAAAGCCCTATGAGTCCCTCTGCATTAAACCTGTGAACAATATCGACCCTTTTAAATAACCAATAGCTACATCTGGGGCCCAGGAGTGGGCAGTGTACACACTGACACATGTTTACTTCTTGCTCTTAATTCTGCAACCCTGTCGAGCTAGTGACCTGTTTCAACCGCCTCAGGCTGTTTTATTACTTTACTTGTTTGTATAAGGCATTGCGGCAACGTGTGGTGTGTCCTTAGGCAAATCTCTCACCACTAGGTTTCATTTTCCTCCTTTCTCAGACTAAGGAGTTGGATGAGGCGATCGCTATAGTCCCTGCCAATTGCCATGTTTTGCTATAATAGCTATGTAGTTGTAATATTATATCCCAACAATAAAAAAATGTGCTCATTTCTGGACAAGCACATTCCTTTAACCAGTTGGAGTCAGTAAAGCAAATGGAAGACTGGACAGTGAATCTGAACTTTCTCCGGGCACCTGGGTGCTCCCCGCAGGTTCTGCCTGGGAAAGGCGGCTCCCTCTCTGCTGGGAAAGGGTGAGTTTCTGCACTTACTTCTCTTACAGTGTCGCCAGGAAGAGAAAGTGAGATTAGAGAAATGGAAGTAATTAGCTTTGATTAGGAACAGAGTGGGGTTTTTTTTTCCTGTCCCTCTGACTGCACACTGTTCAGTTCTGATAGTTTTGCAGCCTCCGGTAAAATGTGCTCATTTCTGGACAAGCACATTCCTTTAACCAGTTGGAGTCAGTAAAGCAAATGGAAGACTGGACAGTGAATCTGAACTTTCTCCGGGCACCTGGGTGCTCCCCGCAGGTTCTGCCTGGGAAAGGCGGCTCCCTCTCTGCTGGGAAAGGGTGAGTTTCTGCACTTACTTCTCTTACAGTGTCGCCAGGAAGAGAAAGTGAGATTAGAGAAATGGAAGTAATTAGCTTTGATTAGGAACAGAGTGGGGTTTTTTTTTTCCTGTCCCTCTGACTGCACACTGTTCAGTTCTGACAGTTTTGCATCAGCCTCAGGTTAATAACAGAGGAATTCCCTCTCAGTTAGATGTTCATTAACTTTTTAGTACCGGCCCTGCCCACACTGAGGGGCGAAGTCCCACTGTCTTAACTTTCTCTGTTGCTAAATCTGTGCCCCTTTTAAGGAAACCCAGGGGACTGCCCCTGAAGAAGAAGACAGAAGACATTCTTAAGGAGCTATTTTCTGTGCCTCTTGCTGCGATTGTGTTTTGTTTCCTTTGCCTTCCTTGGAATGCACCAACTATAACTGGTCTTTTTATTTTTTTTAACTTCAGTTTCACTTTCGAGATTGCAGCAAATTTGCCGCCCGTCCTGATGAACACACGGCTGGATTGGGACTGACGACAACAGGGACGGTCAGCTGTCCTCAGAGTACACACAGGTAGAGATTTCACCTTCCTGTGGGGCTAGGATCGCTCGTTGGGTGAAGCTAGGTGCATGATGGTTTTTGGATTCTTTGCTCTGGTGCTTGAAATCTAGTCAGAATCACTCTAGGAGCATGAAAGAACAGGCAGATGATGTAGGTATGGGAAGAACTGTATCATGACTCAGTACAAATAATAGCAACAAGCCTAATGAACAGGATAAAACATTTTATGCAGCAAATGAAAAAAAAATGTTTCTTTCCTTTGTAATGTAGCTGGCAGGCACATTAGGGTAGCTACTGAAATCATTTGGCGATAGCCTTCACCAAAAATCACAACTTCGTCCCAAAAATCACAACTTCGTCTTAAAGATACAAAGTCCTGTGAGCTCAAAAGAGCTTGTCTCCCTCTCTCAGCCTTCAGGGGGAGATGAGCTGGCATTGTATGACAATGGGCTTGACAGGGGTGAGAAAATGGCTTTCTTTGACCTAATAAAGGAGGAAGCATGGAGCTGAGAAGTGGAAAGCCACTCGGATGTGTAAGAGGATCAGAGATTAGCTTGGGCAGATGTGGGTCAGGCCATAGGGAGATGGAGTCGGCCTTGGCTAGCAGTTTCAGGAAGCTGCTTCCCAACTTTGCAGTATGGCTTTGTGTTGGCATGTGTCTGCATACAGCGTATGTGTCTAAATTTAGGGGGGCAGAGAAATGTAAAGTTTACACACCAAACAGTACAAGCCAAACTGTAGCTGGTGGAAAATCAAAGCAGCCTGTGCAGTGTGGCGCTGGCTTGGACAGAGATGGAATCCTGTGCTCCCTGAACCCGCTCTCCAAACGGCTAGGCCCCATGTCCTCAGAGCCTGGGTACATAAAATTGTGTATAGCTTTAAAAATACTCAGTGCCAACATTGTAAAGGCCATTAGATGGGAATGTTAATTTATAGAAGCTGATTTCTTCTGTTTTTCTGAGAACTAGAGTAGAATAAAAATAAAACCATTAATTTTAAAAAGAATAATTTAAAATACTCAGACAAGTTCTGTTTTCCTAGAATAATCACCTAAAAGGATTTTACATTCAAACTTATCTGGAATTCTTCTTGTGACATGACTTTTAGATCTTATACAAAAAATCTATTAAAATATTATTATTGATTCATCCCCATACCTTGAGGATACATTTGATTTTTTAAAAACATGTGAAATGGTAAACTAGGTAAACAATCATACCAGAAAATACTATATTGGGTACAAATTCCACTAAAACAAGTTTGTAACCATACATAGAAAAAAAGAGTGGTTTTCTTGGACTGATTTTTAACTGCCAGTGGAAAGCTATTCATTCAACATATATTTATTCAATACCAGCTACGTTCTAATCATTTTTCTGGGTTACACAGCATAAAATAAAAACAACCATGTCCTCTCCTATTACCACTTACTTCTTCATAAGGAGGGATAATTAAATAAATTAAAAATAAAATTATTTCAGATAATTCCCATAAACCATTGCATGCAATAAGCGATCTAGTAAAAGAGTTACAAAATGGGAAAATTTACACTTCTGACTTCAAGACTTACTGTAAAGCTACAACGATTAAAAGAGTACGGTTTTAGTTATTAAACAATCTATAGCACAATATTAACTATAAAACAATAATAAAAAAGAAACAACCTGATTAATACATGAGCAAAATATTTGAACATAGGGAAGACATACAAATGGACAGTAAGCACAGAAAAGAAACTGTTAAGTGTCATTGCTCACCAGGAAAATGCCAATAGGTGGGATGTCAAACGGGTTCGGAAACCCCACTGGTAAGGGTCTGGGCGTCTCCCGAAGAGGAGAGATCACTTACTCTGAGGGTCACCAGCCCACCTGCTGCATTGGGAAGCCCCGGACATGTGCCCTGGAAGAGGGAAAGTAAAGGTCTCCACTAATGAAAAGAAACAAACAAAAAGAATTTTTTAAAGGCCTCGGATTTTGTGAATGTTGTATTACAAGTGATTAAATTTATTAATTTCGCTCTTTAGACCAAGTAGTAGGGTAAGATGTCCCATGGATGCCTCCTAACCTGAGACTTTCTTTTCATTCTTTAAAATGAAATGGAAAAACAGCGCTTTGAAAGGAATGAGGCCTCCTTAAGTGGTTGTTCAGGGAGGATGCTGGCTGCTTCCCAGCCTGCGAAGACAGTGCCACGTTGGTCCTGAATGAAGCTCTCCACCTAACCCAGGGTGGAGTTAAAGGGGCTGCATGCATTTCCGTGAATATCAAGTATTTTACATGCGTGGCTCCCACTACTGTTTCCTTCCGATTTAATGGTGAGCTGTGGTTGTCGGGTGATATTTTTTGTTTTGCATAGATTTTCCTTTATAAAGCAAAAAATTTACAAAATAGGAAATAGTTATAATTACCACTTTATACAACATGGATTATTATACTGATTAATAATAGTAGTAAATCCTGCTTTGTTCCAGATACCGAAAGACTTATTTCTTTTAACCTTTGTAACAACCTATGGAGGAGTGACTCTAATTATCTCTACTTACAAGATGAGAAAACTAAGGCCTGAGAAATGAATTAACTTGCTCCAGGCTATATAGTAGAGGATCCAGGATCAGAACACAGAGGGTGTATTTCCAGAGTTTGTTCTCTTAATGACAGTGTTTCTTCAAGTCTTACTGATTCTGCAGTGAATGGTCATTTATATAATCATAAAATTGTAAATGATATCTATTGACTTTAGATTTTATGAATTGATCTAGACCAAGTATATCTGACTTATCATAGTCTTAGGATAAATGCTAACGTTGTATATCTATTATAGCTGGCAGTTTTAGGAAATGCAAGGAAGGAAGGAGTGTGTAGAAAATACAGGGGTGCATATTTCCTGTATCACATGGTGAAGAGTCGAGAGATTTTTTTGTGTAAAGTTGGTTGATCAATAAGTAGAATTCTAAGTATAGTCTTTAAAATTAAAATTGTAACAAGAGACTAAATTAAATTAAAAATAACTAAAGAAAAATTGTGACAACAATGATGAAACAGAATAATTAAGTTCCTTATCTTTAGAGTGGGAAGAAAATACTTAGTCAGTAAATGAAGAAATAGTAGCATATGCATATTATTTAGGTTTGTGAAGGTGACCACGAGAATTAAAAATAGACACTGTCAAGAGGTTACTTTAGGTCATTGCCATGGGAGTGGAAGTGAAGGGTGAAGAGGGAGTTTGTATTATCCGTTTTGTATTTTCTGTGCTGTTTGAATTATACATACATGGCTAATATTCTAAGTGTCTGACCATCCGACTGGTCACTATGATGCGCACTGACCACCAGAGGGCAGACACTCAACACAGGAGCTGCCATGACGTGCACAGAGAAATGGCACCGCGGATTTGGCGCCTACAAAGCAACCCTCGCTTCCCCCAAGTGGAACTTGGCCCCGCCACCACCCTGGAGTGACAGCCCACCAAACCGCAGCCGATGCTGCTGAGACCCCATAGTGCAAAATGCGGCCCACAGCCCAGCCCAGCCTGGAAACGGTGGCTGTGGGCGCCGGGTAATGATGTCACGTTTTTGTTGACATTCTGAAGCCAAAATTGTCAACAGAATATGTCTAAAGATCAACTACTGCCACAACATACCTCTGAAGCCAAAAGAAGCCAGGGTTGTCGACAGAATGTATCTGAAGACCGACTACTGGCACAGCGTACCTCTGAGGCTGAAAGAAAGCAATATTGTCAACAGAATATGTCCGAAGAACAACCATCGACAAGTACTACCAATACTGGTAGGAACTGCCTTCATAGCAAAATGAGATAAATGAGGATGCAATTGTTGAACACAGTGTGGTGGAATGACTCTTACATGTCAATTTTGCCTATCCCTGAATTTATCCGATGAAAAACCAACTGATGGAAAATTTACTCAATGTTGTAGCAAAGGCAAAGTTTATCCAAATGATATAAATTTTCCAGAATACCCGGCATATTTAAAGAAATTAATGATTAACGAATTGCTTTGTCCCAGTCTGACACTGGCCTCCCATTTAAATTATTTGAAGACAGTTTCCTGTGATTGGGGAAATAGTCATTTGTGATGACTATTAATAAATCACAAGGACAAACTCTAGACAGAATAGGAATATTCCTACCTAAACCCATTTTCAGACATGGTCAGTATATGTTGCTTTCTCTCGAGTTTGAAGAGCGTGTGATGTTAAAGTTGTAAATACTTCATCACAAGGGAAATTAGTCAAGCACTCTGAAAGTGTTTTTACTCTTAATGTGGTATACAGGGAGATATTAGAATAAGTTTAATCAATTTATCAGTCATTGTTTGTATCAATGTTGTTTTTATATCATGTTTTTGTTGTTTTCATATCATGTCTTTGTTGTTATATCATGTTGTTATTGTTTATTTATTAATCATTTATATATTATTTTCATGTACATCTTACTAATTTTCTTTCACCTCTGACACTTCTATTATAGAGAAAAGGCAAATAGTGATATTAAAATATTTCTTCTAATTAATTTCCTTTCAGTGTGCACGAATCTGTGCACTGGGCCACTAGTTTCCATTTAATGTACTACTTGTATAATACATACTTGTATATCATGAAAGTTATAGTAAAAAAATCATGCATAGATACATTTGGTTATATATTTTACAAAGAATATACCAATGCATGGGAAAACATGTGTTATTAATGTAATTTATTGCTTTTTAATGTTTTTTTATAGGGCGGAATCATGAACTGGAGTCTGCTGTGTCATATCTCCTGCTTTTTGGGACTGTTGCCCTTTTGGATACAGTGTACGTCTTCTGCCAACAGATGTGCTGTTTGGCATGAAGTAGCTGACTGCAGTCATCTGAAGTTGACTCAGATACCCGATGACCTCCCAGCAAACATAACAGTGCTAAATCTAACCCATAATCAACTCAGAAAATTACCACCTGCCAATTTTACAAGATACAGTCAACTTACTATCTTGGATGCAGGATTTAACTCCATTTCAAAACTGGAGTCAGAATTGTGCCAAAAACTTCCCTTGTTGGAAATTTTGAACCTCCAACACAATGAGCTATCTCAACTTTCTGACAAAACCTTTATCTTCTGCCGAAATTTGACTGAACTCCATCTTAGGTACAACTTAATCCATAAAATTCAAAATAATCCCTTTAAAGACCTGAAGGTAAGATGAAAATGTTTATTTCCATATAATAAATGAAAAGTATGTTATCTAATGTTAAGATTTCAAGTCATGTAGTCATTCTTATACTTAATATCTAGGTATCTGGGTGAAGAAGGAGAAATTTAATCTACCCAAATTGGGGGGCTGAGGGGAACCACACACAAATATTGCCATTATCATGGGAAATGTTTTCAAAAGAGAAAATATCATTTTAAATCAGTTTCTTTCTTTTTAAAATTTTTTTTATTGATTTCAGAGAGGAAGGAAGAGGAGAGAGAAATAGAAACATCAATGATGAAAGAGAATCATTGATTGGTTGCCTCCTGCACGCCCCCTACTGGGGATCGAGCTCGTAACCCGGGTATGTGATCTTGACTGGAATCAAACCCAGGACCCTTCAGTCTGCAGGCTGACACTCTATCCACTGAGCCAAACCGGCCAGGGCTTAAATCAGTTTCAATCTTAATTTTAAAGATCTCTGCATCTCTTGCTTCTTCCCATTAGAAATAGAACTTTCTTAGATACAAGAGGCAGAGATCAGAGATGAATCAGAACATCCCATGAGGAGCACAGCAAATAACCTTTCAAGGCTGCTGATTTTGTACCTGAAATAATGAGGAAAATGTCGAGGGCAAATTCTGACTTAAATAAGGTTAACACAGTGATACATGATAAGTTGTTCAAATTAAAGTTATCTATTCTTGATTTTAGAAATCTCACAATATTGCCTTCCAATGACTACTTACAGTTTTCCTTTTAGTACTTCACTTGAATTTTAAGTCTGTGAAAAATGTACAAGGTAGAGCTAAAGTAGGTTGATAGTTGCTCATATGAAAAATAATACAATTAATAAATAATACAAAAATAAACTGTTTCATGTACTCACAACTGTAAACCTACTTTTGCCCCACCCTGTATTTAATATCTCTAAATTTGAGACAGTTATTAAGTGCTTTTCCTAAGCCAAAGCCATTTTCAAAACTATTTGTTTTCTTCTTTTTATGGACTTATAAACACCTGGTCATTTCTTGACCTCAGATGCCAAGAACACATATATATTTAAATATGCTTAGAAACTTTTATAAAATGATTTGCTTGGAAGCTATTTGAAATTTCTTGTGGGGCCTTCTTAGATTTTGAATTGGAAAAAATATCTTTGGATACAAAGACCTCAATATCTGGTTGGAGTAATCATTGGGGGAAATTTTAACATTATTTTTTTAAAATAAATAAAAGTGTTATTCTCTGTAATAGACATAAGATTTTGCCCTAACATATATATATCAATGTTTCCTTATCTTTTACTTGAGTTTGTAGCATACATGTTCAAAAACAGCATTGGGTGAAAAAACACCCCACAACACTGACAAAACAAACAAAAATGAACATTCTCTACTAGTCATGATGCAAAGTTTGCATAGCTATCGATCTTGCTCAATATAAAAATCTTCTTAGGATTTCATGGTTGACAAAGCTCTACTCATAGTTCTCTTTTAAAATATATTTTATTGATTTCAGAAAGAAAGGGAGAGGGAGAGAGAAATAGAAACATCAATGATGAGAGAGAATCATCAATTGGCTGCCTCTTGCATGCCGCACAATGGGCACCAAGCCCAGGAATGTGCCCTGACTGAGAATCGAACCATGACCTTCTGGTTCATAGGTTGATGCTCAACCACTGAACAACACCAGCAGGGCCTCATAGTTTTTAAGAAAACATTTCTCTTTTCCTGTTATTTAGTTTCAAGGCTGATGTATGACACTATATGTTTGAAAAGCTACATGAATATTCCTTAGATCAGAAATACATGTTTATTATAAATAAACTAGAGGCTCGGTGCACGGATTTGTGCACCGGTGGGGTCCCTCGGCCTAGCCTGCTGAGTTTTGGCTGAAACTGGCTATCTGATATTCCCCAAGGGATCCTGGATTGCGAGAGGATGCAGGCCAGGCCGAGGGACCCCACTGGTGCATGAATCCTCTAGTATGCATATAAGATCTTTGGTTAATCTCTTCCCACCTTCTTCTCTCCCCCCTTTCCTCTGAGATTCATCAGTTTGTTCCATGTTTCCATGCCTGTGTTTTCCACTCCTGCATTGAGTGTCTGCCCCCTGGTGGTCAGTGCGTGTCATAGCTACCGGTCGGTTGAACAGTCAGCCGGTTGCTTAGGCTTTTACATATAGAGATATGTAAATACATGCTCATTATGACTATTCTTTATGTCATGAATGAGTAAGCTTAAGCCTTTCTTATTTCAGTAAGAGAAATAAAGTGATTCTTGATGTAAGAAACTAAATCCTTACAACAATAATATTTTTAATCTCAACAAAGATTTTTATTACTCCGATTGTCAGTTTTCTATAGAATAATAGAGAAATGACATTTTGCTGTTGAGTTCTTCCTAAGGTTCACATACATTTAGAGTAGGGGTGGGAAACATCGGCCTGCAGACTATATAAGGCCCGTAAAATCATTTGGTCTGGCCCTACCAAGGCATTAAAAATGAGTTAATTAAGTGTTTGATCAAATATGCTGGCTAATGTTTAAGTTGATGGTTTTGTATAGCATATGAATGATATTATAAATATCCAAATGGCACTTGGCAGAAAAAATTTTCCCCACCCCTGATTTAGAAGAACTATTTTTGATGGCAAGATTCTAACATCTACTTATTTTTTCCTCTCAGAATTTAATCAAATTAGATTTATCTCACAATGGCTTATCATCTACTAAATTAGGAACTCAACTCCAACTGGAAAATCTCCAAGAGCTTTTATTATCAAATAATAAAATTCATGTACTAAAACGTGAAGAACTTGATTTCCTTGGCAATTCTTCTTTAAAAAAATTAGAGTTGTCTTCAAATCAAATTAAAGAGGTAAGAAGTGAGATAAATTATTTCGTGTTCTGTCTTTAAGTGTGGGCAGTCCGTAATTGTGTCACATGGATAGGAATCCAAAAATCTCTATAGACTTGCGAAATCCTTCACACTGACTTCTTGGTCATTGATGTCACCCTCACAAGAAAGGGAGTTGGGTAGCAATTAGGAGCTAGGCCTCTGCTGTCAAACAGAAGTGGCTTAAAATCCTCCTTCCATTATAGACCAGTACTTTGACTTTGGGGAACTTCACCTCTCTGGGTCCTCACATGTAAAGTGGAAATACCATCTATCTTACAAAATCTCTGAAAGAATTAACATAGCATGATGCTTAAGAGCACGGGCTTTAGAGCTAATTTAGTTGCCTTCCTCTCTGGGCTTTCTCTCTTATTAATTGTGCAATCAGGCAAATTATTCAAGTTCTCTCTACTCCAGTTCTCCAGTTATAAAGTTAGTGTAATAAACATTACTTCATTGAACTGTGTGCTAGACAATGTAGCACATATCAGGCATGTAAGGACCCCAGCAGGAGTGACATCTAAGCTGAGCCATGGATGCTGAGTAGAAGTTACCCTGTGGCCAGGGGAGGGGCAGAGAGGAGTGTTGGAGCAAGGTGCAGAGTAAGGAGCTGTGCATTAGAGGGATGGAGAGAAAACCCAGAGAAGGTGATGAAAAGGGAAGGGGGCTGGAGTAACGCATTGTGTTTAACGGATTGTGTTGCAAGGGTCATACAAACTCTACTGTGTCTTGGTTATTCACCTCTTTTTTTCCCTCCACCCTTAGTTTTCTCCAGGGTGTTTCCATGCAATTGGAAAATTATTTGGTCTCTCTCTGAACAATGTCCAACTGGGCCCCAGTCTCACTGAGAACCTTTGTCAGGAATTGTCAAACACAAGCATTCAGACTCTCTCCCTGAGCGGCACCCAGCTGTACAGAACAAGCAACACGACTTTCGCTGGACTAAAGCAGACGAACCTCACCATGCTTGATCTTTCCTATAATGGCTTAAATGCGATCGGCAATGATTCCTTTGCGTGGCTTCCACATCTAGAATATCTCTTCCTGGAGTATAATAACATAGTACATTTGTCTTCTCGCTCCTTCTATGGGCTTTTCAACGTGAGATACCTGAATTTGAGACGCTCTTTTACTAAACAAAGCAATTCCCTTGCTTTGTTTCCCAAGATTGATGATTTTGCCTTTCAGTGGCTAACATGTTTGGAGCATCTTAACATGGACGATAACAACTTTCCAGGCATAAAAAGCAATATGTTCACGGGACTCACACAGCTGCGATATTTAAGTCTATCCAACTCCTTCACCAGTTTGCAAACTTTAACAAATAAAACATTTGTATCACTTGCTCATTCTCCTTTACTAATGCTCAACCTAACAAAAAATAAGATCTCAAAAATAGAGAGGGGTGCTTTTTCTTGGTTGGGCCACCTAAAGGTACTTGACCTCGGCATTAATGACATTGGGCAGGAACTCACAGGCCAGGAATGGAGAGGTCTAGAAAACATTGTTGAAATCTACCTTTCCTACAACAAATACCTGCAACTGACTAGCAGCTCTTTTGCCCTGGTTCCAAGCCTTCAGCAACTGATGCTCCGAAGGGTGGCCCTTAAAAACCTGGATAGCTCCCCTTCACCTTTTCGCCCTCTTGCCAATATGACCATCCTCGATCTAAGCAACAACAACATAGCCAACATCAATGATGAACTGTTGGAGGGTCTGGACAGACTGGAAATTCTTGATTTGCAGCATAACAACTTAGCCCGGCTCTGGAAACAAGCAAATCCTGGTGGTCCTGTTAATTTTCTAAAGGGTCTTTCTCACCTCCACATCCTTAATTTAGAGTCTAACGGCTTTGATGAGATCCCAGCAGAAGTCTTCAAGGACTTGCTTCAGTTAAAGAGCATCAATTTAGGGTTGAATAATTTAAACATACTTCCACCATCCATCTTTGACAATCAGGCATCTCTAAAGTCGTTGAACCTTCAGAAGAATCTCATCACATCAGTTGAGAAGGATGTTTTTGGGCCAGCTTTCAGGAACCTGAGTAATTTAGATATGCGCTTTAATCCGTTTGATTGCACGTGTGAAAGTATTGCCTGGTTTGTTACCTGGCTCAATGCTACCCATACCAATATCTCTGAACTATCAAGCCATTACCTCTGCAATACCCCGCCTCAATATCATGGTTTTCCAGTGATGCTTTTTGATATATCACCCTGCAAAGACAGTGCCCCCTTCAAACTCCTTTTCATGATAAATACCAGTATATTATTGAGTTTTATTTTTATTGTACTGTTCATCCATTTTGAAGGCTGGAGGATATCCTTCTACTGGAATGTTTTAGTGCATCGAGCTCTTGGTTTCAAAGAAATGGATAGACAGCCAGAGCAGTTTGACTATGCGGCGTATATAATTCATGCCTATGAAGATAGGGACTGGGTCTGGGAGAACTTCTCCCCAATGGAAGAACAAGATCAAACTCTCAGATTTTGTCTGGAAGAAAGGGACTTCCAGGCAGGTGTCCTTGAACTTGAAGCAATTGTTAATAGCATCAAAAGGAGCAGAAAAACCATTTTTGTTGTAACACAACATCTATTAAAAGATCCATTATGCAAAAGGTAGGTGAACACTGTGACATTTGAAGTATATAGCTGTTTTTACATTGAGCTTTTCAACATTACCAACATTTTACTCACAACTCAAAGAATCTACACTAATAAAAGAGAAAAATGCAAATTGACCATACCTTCATGATGCCCACCAGCCAATCAGGAGTGAGTATGCAAATTAACCCAACAAAGATGGTGGGTTAATTTGCATATACAGGCACCGAGCGGCCAGGGGCGGGGTGGGGCGGGACGCTTGCATCGTGCTGCTCCGGGCCTCTGGGAGGTGTGGGAAGGCAGAAAGGCAGCTCTGGCCAGAGCAAAGGTGGTGCTGGCAGCCAGGTGAAGGAAGGCCCATTCTTGCATGAATCTTCATGCATCGGGCCTCTAGTTTAAAAAATAAAATTAAGAAAAAATATAACCTGATTTTTAGTGAGATATCAAAGTAAATTCTAAGGGGAATTTTAGATTTTAGAGCTTTTGACTATTAAAAACTGTATATTTATATATAACTTAATTCAATTTCTTGTGGTTTTGTTTGTTTGTTTTTACTTAGATTCAAGGTGCACCAAGCAGTTCAAAAAGCTATTGAACAAAACCTAGATTCCATTATCTTGATCTTTCTTGAGGAGATTCCAGATTATAAACTGAACCATGCACTCTGCTTGCGAAGAGGAATGTTTAAATCTCACTGCATCTTGAACTGGCCAGTTCAGAAAGAACGGAAAAATGCCTTTCATCACACGTTGCAAGTAGCACTTGGGTCCAGAAATTCAGTACATTAGATTTATTTAAAAATTAAACAAAGGAATAACTTTCCTAATTTAAAAAAAGTTTCATGGTAAATTTAAGTTTTACTTGGAAACAGTGTAAATCTGTTTGTTTATATTTTATAGGTGAGAGTATTAGATCACAGTTATCTCTCTTCTATGGAAATATATCTCCTTATTTCAGACTTTTTATAACCAATTGACTTAATTTGACCCAAAAGAAACATATAGGAATATTCCCTATTAATGAATATACATAATTGGTTACTGAGGCCAATGAAAACTTAAGAAAGTTTAAAAATATTCCTCATTTAAGTAAGGTAAGAGTTATGTGAGGGTTTGTAATAGTTATATTTGGGTTTTTTATGTACTCAGAATAAAAAATAATTGTTTTAATGGGCACAATGGTATTTCAATTATAAACAATAAAATATATACCCATATTTTTTAAAAGTTTAATTACAGTATTTTGCCAATTGAAAAGCTTGTATTTTAGTAGTGCCTATCCCAGTGTTGATTTTGTTAAATTTTAAATACCATTTTAATATGCAGACTCTAGGGCAGAAAACATTTGTTAATAATTTTGATTACTTAATGAAACAAATGATTTAATACTTACATTTTCTTAATATTTGAAATCCTGCCATAGAATATGTTAGAAGAAATAATTATCTTACTTAGAATAATTGCAGAAAGGCTTACTTCTTGAAGGTTAATTAGTAGATTGGCTTTGTGGAAACAAGATATTGTCCTCCCTTGCTCATAGACTCTGGAGGTAGCCCTGGTCAAATCACTTGGTCCCACTGATTCATGATTCATGATCTTGAAAATATGATGATAAACAAAATCATAAATATTCTCATGTATTTAGTGATGATGATCATGGTTTAATACCTTCATATAGATTATATTATTGTACCACAAAATAATATGCTAGGTATAAATTAGTCCTTATGACTATTTTGTTTTACATAAAAATTCTAATTATTGGAAATAGACATGAATAGCTTTTTTTTTCTTTCTTTATTGATTAAGGTATTACATATGTGTCCGTATCCCCCCCCTCCAGCTCATGCCCTTACCCCCCATCCGCCCTTGTCTGTGTCGATTGTTTATGCTTATATTCATGCATACAAGTCCTTTGGTTGATCTCTCCCTCTTACCCCCACCCTCCCCTACCTTCCCTCTGAGGTTTAACCATCGGATCGATGCTTCTCTATCTCTGGATCTGTTTTTCTTCATCAGTTTATGTTGTTCATTATATTCTACAAATGAGTGAGATCATGTGATATTTGTCTTTCTCTGACTGGTTTATTTCACTTAGCATAATGCTCTCCAGGTCCATCCATGCTGTTGCAAATGGTAGGAGTTCCTTCCTTTTTTACAGCAGCATAGTATTCCATTGTGTAGATGTACCACATTTTTTAAATACACTCATCTGCTGATAGGCACTTAGGCTGATTCCAAATCTTAGCTATTGTAAATTGTGCTGCTATGAACATAGGGGTGCATGTATCCTTTCTGATCAGTGTTCCCAGTTTCTTGGGATATAGTCCTAGAAGTGGGATCACTGGGTCAAATGGGAGTTCCATTTTTAGTTTTTTGAGGAAACTCATACTGTAATGAATAGCTTTTTAAAACCTTTCTAGTTCTGGTATTTAAATGTAAAAGAGAGTTAAAGTACATGTTTATTGAACTTAGGGAGCATTAAAATGTCCCATTTTGGAACTGTGATTTAACTAGTTTAGTGTTTTCAGGATGAAATTCACATAATCCTGAAAAAAAGTCATATCCACTGAACCATGATTCTGAGAGTCTGCTGTCTTCCAACAACGTGAACATGTGGAGGACTTCTTTCTACTTCCTCATTACACAGGTCACGCACATGTGAGACATTTGTTTTATAACGTTTTTGTTAACATTTGTTTTGGCATCATATAAGTAAAACTAATCAAAGCTATGAGCCTTGACTTGTGTTTGACCTAAACAGGAAGCAACTTCCCAAGGCTGTCTTTTCTAATTGTCCTCAGGAGAAGTCCTTCTCCCTTGCGTTCACACAAGGCGTGTAGAAAAGGATGCTGGTCTGACCTATTAATTTCCACCAGTGAATTGACTTGTTTGGATGCGCTCAGATGCCATTATGTTATCTGTTTACTCCAACTCCTTCTTCCTGATTTTCACTTTCAAACCCAAACACAGCTGAATCAACAACCTTGCATTTAAAATAAATCTAGGTGTTTATTTAGGTTTTAACTACTAATGACATCTTTTAGATTGTAATAAGTAGTAGATAGGATCGATTTATTAGTGAGGAAGGGGGATTTGGTGCCATTTATTTGACGATGTCTAATTATTGAAATGTCTATCTTAGATTATTGTCGAAGGGACTCAATTGTAAGTGATGGTGACCATTAGAAAATGTGAAGAGGCTCCAAATCAGGAGCTTAAAAAGACATTTCTTGCAATCTAAAGAGACAGAAAGTAGAGGAGTTGTTGTCTGGGCCTAGGGTTGAGAATGGGGAATAACTGCAGGTGGGCACAAGAAATCTTTCGGGGGGCAATAAAAATGTTCTAAAATTGGATTGTGGTCATGATTGCACAACTATGTAAGTTTACTAAAAGTTGTTGACTCATATACTTAAAACAGGTAAAATTTATGGCATGTCAATTGTATATTAACTAGAGGCCCGGTGCACGGATTCATGCACCAGTGGGGTCCCTCAACCTGGCCTGTGGGGATTGGGCCGAAACCAGCTCTCTGACATCCCCCGAGGGATCCCAGATTGCGAGAGGGTGCAGGCAAGGCCAAGGGATCCCACCGATGCACGATCTGGGCCAGGGAGGGACCTCGGGAGGGCTCTGGACATGGCTGGCCCATCTTGCCCAGTCCCGATTGGCTGGACCCCAGCAGCAAGCTAACCTAACAGTTGGAGCATCTGCCCCCTGGTAGTCAGTGCACATCATAGCAACTGGTGGAACAGTCGAACAGACGGTCAGACACTTAGCATATTAGGCTTTTATTATATAGGATAATGATATTAATAGTACTTATGGAGCAGCTACATGTGCCTAACCCTATGCTAAACAATAATGAGATACACTGTAGAAACCAGGGCAACAGGAATTAGGGTAGGAAGGTATTACCAAAGGTGGACCCAGACAAGGACAACTTCATGGAAGAGGATCAGACTTTTCAAAGTTGGGTAGGATTTGGTGAGTGAGGATGACAATGGCAGAATGAACAGTGAGGTGAAAGGTAGGGAGGGAAATGTGAACTTGGTGTTGGGAGATACTAGGGATGCTGGAGCCAT